ATCACGGTGTTGGAGCAGGTACTTTGTGAATCTTCACATTGTGTGTGAATTTATTTCTGACAATCAGACAGGCAATGCTTATATCTGTGAAAGCGTGGACTAAGCCTTCGATGCATGCTGCTCAGCCCTGTTAATGTATCCCCTTCTCCCCATGACTTGGTAACGATCGCCTGTGACAGGTAGGCGTGATGAAGTTGTTTTCACGGCAGCTTGGGCACATATTATGCAATGTGTGTGCTTTGGATTCAGACCATGGACTAGTTCAGAGCCAAGTCAGAAAAACAGTCCCTCTATAGAGAAGCGACCGATGGGGAATCTGAGTGATCATCTTGGCTGTACCAACCAGTAGGGTTTTTAGAACTACCCATAACCACAAAAAAGTTAGTAACCACACATTAAAAAAATAGTTTTATTTTATTAAGTGTCTAGTTCAGGAAAAAGTTACAGTTCAAAGGCAAGAAAATTTCTCACATCCTGAAGCAAACACTGGAAAGACAGTTTCATAAAATGAACACTTTGCTACAGGCATGATGCTCTCTCTCAGCCAATAAAAGGTGAAAATCTTTACCTGAACTTTATAATGTTGTATTCAAGTTGTTTGCTTGGATATTCCTGACTTATAGAAGCTAAGCTGTTTGATAATACAGATGTCAAAATAATTATTTTTTTAAATTCACAGTTAGGAGTCATGGAGATGGGTAGCTCCGTCAAGATGTCTGCTGGGCAAGCACAAGGACCTGAATTTGGATTCCCCAACGCACAAATAAAAACCAGGCATGCTGGTATGCACCTGTAATCCCAGCACCGGGTAGGCAGAGATAGGAGTGTTCATGGGGTTGCTGGCCAGCCAGTCTAGCTCATCCGTGTGCTTAGGTTTCAGTTAGAGACCTTGTCTCAAAAATAAAGTGGAGAACCACAGAGGAAGACACACAATGCTGACCTCTGACCTTTGCACTCATGCACACATATACACAAAAATGATCAGTTATAATAAAATCCACGGCTAAAATATTTTTAGTATTCCCAAATAGTTTACTATACAATTCCTTGCAGAAAAAAAAAACATGAGTAACAGTGACAAATCTAAAGGCTTGCCTTTGTGGTTATTGTTCTTGTTTTCTTTTTTGTTTTGTTTGAAACAAGGTCTCGCTATACAGCTCAGGTTGCCCTTTAACTCACAGAGATCCACCCAGCTATGCCTCCTTAGTGCTAGGATTTAAAGAGTTCATCATCATGCCCAGCTAAGGACTGGTATTTCTGGGTGTGGCTTCATAGCCACATACTATTCTAGCTAATAAAACCTGCTGGGTTCATGTCACCACCTGTCAACAGTCCACATAAATGGGGTGAGGGCTCACAGGACCCTCAGTTTTCTTTAAGGACGAGCCCCTGGTAAGTTGGTCGTGTTCCAGGGGTCAGCTATACATCCATGTGCACATGGGCAACACTAACTGGATTCAGTAAGGGGTGCGTGCGTGTGTGCGCAGGTGCATGCGTGCGTTTCAAAGCCTCGGGCCGTTCCCAGTGTGATATTTCTGCTTCAAGCTTGTAGCTTAAGCTGTGACCCCTCAGCGTTCTGCTCCTGCTATCATGCCTGCTGTTTGCTGCCATTTCAGCAGAATCTTTTTTGTTTGTTTTGTTTTTTTCATGACAGGGTTTCTCTGTTTAGTCTTTGCTGTCCTGAAACTCATTCTGAAGACCAGGCTAACTTCCAACTCAGAGATCTGCCTGCCTCTGCCTCCTTAGAGAGCCACCACTGCCGAGCTATGAGAGAGTCTCATACCTCTGAGACCAGAGCCAAGGAAACACACCCTGCCCCTAACCAACTCAGGAACTTAAATCCAGCCAAGCCCTGAGCACAAAATCCAACCAGTCTTTGAGCTTGTCCCAAGCTCAGGAACTGAGATCCTACCAATCTCCATTCTGAAAATACCCACCTTGAAAAGCTCTGCCCCCTAAGAAACTCTATATAAGCTCCGTATCTGTTCAGTTTGGGGCTGCCCTGTTTCCACTCTGGTATAAGCAGCCACTCTCCTGGATTCTTCCTTCCCAATAAATCTATTGAATGAGGTTTATCATAATGACTTTCTTTCACGGAGCGGAGTGGAGCAGAGCGGAGCTGTACACTTTGGCTGGGGAAACTTTCCCTTGCTGCAGAGTTGTTACGGTCAGGAGGACCGAGCACAGCTGTTCAAGCTCCACATCCCCACGTGGTAGAAGCAAAGAACTGGACACAAATTGTCCTCCTGATCTCCACATGTGAACTGTGGCGCTCTCTCTGTCTCTGTCTGTCTGTCTGTCTGTCTGTCTCTCTCACACACACACACACACAAAATAAATAAATATACATTGTAAAAAATAAATCTGAGCTCAAAAAATAAACAAAACCAAAAGAATCCCAGCAACAAAAAGCAAATAAGTTGTACAATTCTCAAAAGAAGTACAAACGGCCAATGCATTAGTCAGCAAAAAATGGTTCATTATATAAAGGGTCTCGCCAAGCCACCCTGCCAATCTGAATTCAATCCCCAGAACCCACACACAGAGAACCGATTCCTCAGTGTTGTCCTCTGACATCCACATGTTTACTATAGCATGTAAGTGTTCACACGCATGAATCATAAACATACCACACTAAATAAGTGAAGATAAACGACCAAAAAATATGAAAATACTTGACATCCACAGCCAGCAGAAGACTTCGAATCAGAGTACATTAATATTCCATCTTTCCCCAGTTAGAATGGCTGTCATAGAGAAATCAAACAAGTGCTGGTGAGGATACTGTGAAAAAAAGGAACCTTTTTGGATGTATGGATGTAAATTGGTGTGACATCATGTAAATCATTATAGAGGTTCCTTAGAAAACTAAAATTAAAGCTAGCATCATCTCCAACAGTAGTACCCTTTCAAAGAATACACCTGAAGGAATCTAAGTCAGCACACTACACAGAAACCTGCCCATTTCTGCTGGGTATGGTGGCACAGGCAGATTTCTGAGTTTGAGGCCAGCTTGGTGTACAGAGCGAGTTACAGGACAGCTAGAGCTACACAGAGAAAATCTGTCTTGAAAAATCAAAATAAATGAATTAATAGGAAAAGCCTGGTGTGGTAACCCACACCTTTAATCCCTGTGCTCCAAAGGCAGGGGCATCTCCATGAGTTCTAGGACAGCCTGCTCTACCTATCGAGTTCCAGGACAACAGTCCAGGAAGTTCCAGTTCTAGGATTGCATAGAGAACCCTTGTCTCAATAAAGAAGAAAAAAAGGAGAGGGAAGGGAAGGAGAGGAAAGGGAAGGCTGCCTGGGTTGACAAACAGATGGCTTATTTCTCACCACATTCCAGGCCTCCCTCTCTATGCATTCATTCTACTTGTATGCAAATTTCTTATTAAATACACCAATTAGATTGGATTAGGGCTCATTATATTGATTTCATTTTGACCAGTGTGCTTTTAACGGTCTTATCTCCAAAATAAGGTCAAAACTGTGATGTGTTGGCGATTAAGGGCTTCATTCAGCATATGGATTTGAGGGGTTATTAATAGCCTGTAACAGGCAGTTTCGGCTGCTGGTAAGTAGAAGGTGACTCCCATGCATGGTTTGGTGTAATCCCCACAGGAGTAGATGCAGTGTATCTGTAGGGAAAAGGGACCAGTCAAAGAAACACACCCTGAGCAGAGCCAAAGAAACACACTTTGGCCCTGCAACCAGAACCAAAGAAATGTACCCTGACCCTAAAACCAGTGCCAAAGGAACACACTTTGTCCCTGGAATCAGAGTCAGTGAAAGAAATGTACCCTGGCCCTAAAATTGGAGCCAAAAGGCTAAAAAGGACCAGAGAAAGAAATACACTTTGGCCCTGAAACCAGAGCCAAATCTGACCCTAATCCTGTGTAAAAAAGTAACCAATCCCGGAGCAGAGCTCTAGCCAATCTGAGCTCAGCACTGAAATCGGACCAATCCCTACTCTGGAAAAACTTCCCCAACCCCAGGAATCCCTATATAAACCCTGTGTATGTTCAGCTTGGCTGGTCCAGCTGTCTTCCAATAAACACCTTTGGATGAGCTTCGGGTGAAGATCTTCTTTTGCGGCGGTGACAGAGCAAAGCAGAGGCGACCCTGGGCAGAGCAGAGCAGAGCGAGCAGTGCTGTAACACTTGCCCGGGAAACCTTCCTTGGCAGAGCGGAGTTGTTACACTCTGCTCCGGGCTCCCTGCTTTCTGCTCTCCGCTCTCCAGGAGCAGAGCTGAACTGTAGCAACTTCGCCCCAGAAACCTCCTGCGGAGCAAAACTGCTACACTAGGCGAACATCCCCAGCTGGAAGACCCTGTCCTGCCGGAGCGGAGCTGATACACCGGAGAAGCCTTTCTCTGAGGCAAGGCTGTAAGCTGCCAAGCTTACTGCAACCTGTGGTGGTCCTTGGCTCCCGAGCTCCAGGATACCTTTCCACCTGAGCTGTGTAACACTCAGTATTCTGTGACTCCCGAGTGCCAGAATACCTGACCCACTCCTGTTCCATCCTGTCCTGACCCATCCCGACGAAACGCTTACAGTATCTCTCCCAGGATTTACTTTGTAGACCGGGCTGGCCTGTAAGCCACAGAGATCCTCTGCCTCTGGCGACTAAATGCTGGGATTAAAGCCTGTTTTCCTTTTGTTTGTTGGTTGGTTTTTGGTTCTTAAGACAGGGTTTCTCTGCATAGCCCTGGCTGTCCTGGAACTCGCGCTGTAGAACAGGCTGACCTCAACCTCAGAGATGTTCCTGCCTCTGCCTCCCACGTGCTGGAATTAAAGGCGTGGGCCGCCACCGCCCTTACATATGAGCGTTTTCTAAGTCCCTGGTGCTTATGTGAAGAAACAGTTTAGACAAGCGGTTCCCGACCCGGGGCTGACGACCCCTTTGGCAAACCTCCATCTCCAAAAAACACTTCTTTGCATTAAGATTAGTAACCGCAGCAAAACTGAAGTTATGCAGCCGCAAGGAAACATCCTTGATGATGTGGCGGGTCTCTGCAACACCAGCCGCATCAAAGGGTGGCAGGCCTGGGGAGGTTGAGAGCCACCGGTTTAGGCAGTCTCCCATTAGTAGATTTAACCCCGGTAAGTGCGTGTTACAGCGGGTCATCATCTTTCCCAGGCTGTCATTTGGAAGCCCGGGGCGTGGCCTCTCAGGCAGAGCCGTAAAAGAGGCCCCGGCGAGTCGTGAAGAGTCGCGACACGGAAGAGTCGCTTTACGGCTCGGCCCCGCCTCCTCCGCCGCGGGCGTGCCGGGCTCGCGGCTTCGGGTCTGCTGCACACGTGTGGCGCTGTCGGTGACCCCGGCCGGCGTGCTAGCGCCGCGGGGGACGGGCGGACGGACGGGCGGACCGGGCGGCAGCGTCGGCCCCGGGGCTCGCGAGCCGATGGAGGAGGAGGGGACCCCGGGAGGAGGCCCCCAGAGGGCTGCTGGGGAGGGAGCCTGGGACCTAGGCGGGAGCCGGGCGGCGGGCGATGCCGGGGAGAGGGGCGCGCGGGCGGGGACCGAGGGCGCGGAGGAGATGAAGGTGGACTTGGCTGCCGTGAAGCAGGAGGTGGAGGACTGGTCGGATGCGGGCTTGTCGGGCTGCCGCTGGGCGAAGCCGGAGCCGGCGGCCGGGCCTGGGGTGAAGGAGGAGAAGGTGGGCGCGCCGGAGGTGAAGCCGGAGGCGGCCGAGGGGGAGCCCGCAGTCAAGGAGGAGAAGGTGCAGGTGAAGGAGGAGGTCGCCGACTGGGGAGAGGTGAAGGGGGACCCGGACGTGAAGCGGGAGCCGCTGCTGGGTCAGGATGTCAAGGAGGAGCGGCCGCCGCCGGTGGTCAAAGAGGAGGCGTCCCTCAAGAGAGAAGCGGCGGACGGCACGCAGGTGAAGGAGGAGCCTCTCAGGGGCCCCCGAGTGGGCTGCAAGAGGAAACTGGCCATGTCCAGGTAGGCCAGGGAGGGGACCCCCCCACCCCCGGTGGAGATTAGCGCGTGGACCGAGCGAGCTAGACAGCAAAGTAGATTTAAACCAGGCACGAAGTGGGCTCCACACCTCCAAGTCTGCATGGTCCCAGCATGGTATGGTCAGGCTAGGGGGTGAAAACTCTGGGCACTGGGGACGTTTGTGGAACCAGATCTTGTTGGCTGTGAAGCGATTGTGGAGGAGAACTTCTGCCTATTTGGAGGAAAATAGGAATCAGGGGACATGTGATAAAAACAACCGTGAAAAAAGTGGGTGGGGTTGGAAGACAGCGGCCAACTCCTCCTGAAGTTTTTTCATGGCCCCTATGGCTGTTTATTTCTGGATGCACTGTCTTTAGTGGGCTGTCGGTCGGCAAAGAAGATCAAACTATGGTCAGATTCTGTCTCAGACAGCTTGGGCTGACTGAACCGAATTGTACTCTATGCTAGAGAACAGATGAGTAATGCCATGTCTGGGTTTTCTTGGTGTCCATTCTAAGTTGGATGTGGACTTTTGGGGAGGGCATACATACATTATGATGCATTTTGCCTGGATCTCATCTTGTGCTTCGCTGGTGTATATGCTTTTAAAATATCCAAATGCAGCCTCTGTGAATTACGAATTTCAGAAAATCACCAATTCATGTTGTCTCTAATTACAGTAGAAATAGAAATCAGCCGGGCGTTGGTGGCGCACACCTTTAATCCCGGCACTTGGGAGGCAGAGGCAGGTGGATCTCTGTGAGCCAGTTCCAGGACAGACTCCAAAGCAATACAGCGAAATCCTGTCTTGAAAAACCAAAAGAAAAAAACTTAAAATGAGACAATTTTTTCACATATATTGTTTTCTTGAATTACCTTTCATTGTAAATGTCATTTGCAAGCATTTTTCACAATTTTCAAAGACAGCTATAAAATAATTCATCAGAGTAGCTGACCTATGCTTCCATTTGCTTTGACTCCCTGCCTATAAACTGTAAATATCCTTGATTCAGCATTCAGAAGGGGTAAGTTCGTAAGTAGAGTTAATTTCTGAGCGTTAAGTCACAGGTGGACTTTTACAGGTGTGGAACTTGTGGGGCGGAAGAGGCAAAGTACAGATGTCCGCGCTGCATGAGATGCTCCTGCAGGTAGATGTGTACCTCTTACCCTGTTCCCGGCCTCTCCCCGCCTGCTTCAGATGTAAGACCGCCTTCCGTTTGTCTCTGCAGTTTGCCCTGTGTAAAGAAACACAAAGCAGAGCTGACTTGTAATGGAGTCCGAGATAAAACCGCTTACATCTCACTGCAAGAGTTCACGGAGATGAATCTCCTAAGCGGTGAGTCGTTTTGTGCACAACAGGTCGACTGCTTTCTGGCCCCTGGTACGCGGCGTCACTCGTTAATTTCCCCTCTCTGAAATTACTAGACTATCGGTTTTTGGAAGATGTGGCGAGAACCGCAGACCAGGTTTCAAGAGATACGTTTTTGAAAAGACCAAAGCGCAAAAAATATGTGAGTATTTCTCCTGGTCTTTTCAAGTTAGAATTTCTTCCAATCAGTTTATTCATTTCTCAGCTCTGTCACGTGGCCACCCTGACCTGGGGCTGTACTGATTATTCAAGACAGATCTGAAGTCCTTACCCTGAGGAGTTTGTATTGCAGTGGAGAGTTAGTTAAGTCGAAGAGTCCGGATGTGGAGAACAACAAATACAGTTTCTTACAGACCTCAGTGCACATAGAAAGTTAGGATGGGCCAGAAGAGTAAAGAAAGCAAAGTAGTCTGTGGTGAGCATGGACTCGGGATATGATTGTCACCACAGTGGTAGAGATGAGATTCTCTGAGTGGGAACGGTTAGGCGTTGTCTTAATGGTGGAAAGAGACTGGAGGAGTCATTTGGAGGAAAACTCTTCTGGGTTGAGATGCAGGCAAACGTGGCACAAGCCTGTGACCCAGCACTTGGAGGAAGACATAGCGAGACTTTGACTCAAAAAGGTGTGGGTTGGGAACCGGTGTGTATGCTTGGAGGATTCCAAGGGGCGGGATAACTGAAGCATAGTGGATGGGTAGGGATGCCAAACGGAGTTTAGGGAAACCTGTAGAGTTCCCCAGCATTCTAAGTAAACAGAGGGAAGCTAGGTGTGGTTGTGCCTTTAATACACTCAGAAAGTCAAGAGTTAGTGGAGTCTCTTGAGACAGGCCATGCAGGGGTATGTGAGGCCTTTTTTGTTGGTTCATTTGTTTCCAGGTAGGATTTCTCTGTGTAGCTTTTGGAGCCGGTCCTGGAATGCTCTTTGAACCAGGCTAGCCATGAACTCACAGAGATCCACCTGCTTCTGCCTCCTGAATGCTGGCATTAAAGGCGTGTAACACTACTGCCCAGCCAAGCCTGGCAGTAGTGGTGCATGTCTCTAATCCCAGCATTCAGGAGGCCAACCTGGTCTACAGAGTGACGGCCAGGGAAACACAGAAAAGGCCGGCTCAAAAAAAAGCAAGGGAGGAGTTGAGCGTGTTTGGTCTTTAAAAGAGCTCTCTTAGCCTGGAGAGGTGACTCGGCCGTTAATCGCCTGTGATCTTCCCCAGGACTGTGGGCTAGACAGAGATGTACCGTCCACTGTGACCCCAGTTCCAGAGGCTTCAATGCTGTTTTCTGGTTGGGGTCAGGGAACCACAGTGGAAGATTGAAGCATGAACAGTTTCAGGGGTGTATGCCAGAGTGTGAGAGATGGTGGTGGCTTGGATATGCTGTTAGAAATAACTGGAAAGTGGTGTGATTCCAGTTCTGACACAATAGTTAACAGGCCCTTGTGTCCTGCCATACTTAGTTTTTATGTTCTTCCCTCAAACAGTAGGAAAAGTAAAGGTTACACATGTGAGATATTTGGTACCTGAGAATTTAATTAACACTGTGGTTGAATCAGACCATTTTAGTGTGGAAGTGAGAACTTCAATACCTTTCACACACATGTAGAAAGTTACCATGTTTAATTACTACTCAGGTTAAGTTAAACATCACTAAATTCAATTTTTATTGTAAAATAGCGCATACATTAAAAAATGGTGAAATGGAAATACGGTGTAATGAGTAAGGAAGTAATGAGAGTCTGTGTGACTGCCACTGGGACAAGAACGTTCCAAGCTTCACTGGTGTCCTTGTCACCCTGTGGTGTGCTGCAGCGTCGGTGTCCTTTCCGGGGTGGTCTCAGAAACACACCTTTGAGCTGGGCGTGGTGGCACACGCCTTTAATCCCAGCACGGGAGGCAGAGGCAGGAGGATCTCTGGATAGATGGATGGATGGATGGATGGATGGATGGATGGATGGATGGATGGATGGAAACTGAGGCATTCTGAAATTAACTTATGTTTGGCTTTGTTGCTAGATGTTCTTTATGAAAAATCGTGCCCGAAAGCAAGGTGTTTTCTTGAAGCTTCTACCCAACGGATTCAGCAAGAGGAAAGAGAATTCAACAGTTTTTGACCATAAGTAGGTCTCTCACTTTTCCTATGTAGCTGTTCTAATTTAATGGGGAACAACCCCCAGGATTTGGTTTGCTATAGAACATTGTTAGCAGAAGTATGATCTGTGTATGTTACTGGATGACAAGAGACTGATGTTTGCGTGTCCTCCAACTCTAGAGACTTGGAGACTTGGGAATGTGATGGGTTATCTTGTTGTCCTTAAAGAAGCTTCTCAGATGTTAATGGGCTTAACAAATTAGTAAGTATACTTGTGATTTAATCTCAGTAAATTGGAATTTGGTGGCATAATTTCTGATAGTGCCCCAATAATGCTTTTGGCTGGGTTGGAATTTGACAGCATGCGTTTCTAATGGTGACCAACCGTGCTCCTGGCTGAGAACCCATCTTTGAGAAATAGTGTTGTGGAGTTTTCTCTGAGAACTAGACTGTCATGGGAGTATTTGAGGGGTCTTAAATTCAAATCCCGAAAGGATGATAAAAATAAAAGCTAAGTAAGTTCCTTTGGTTAAGTCAATTCCTCCTCACTCACCACTTTATACCCACTCAAAAACCCCGAGTACTGACTCCCCCTTTACCTTTTAGACAGATTTCAATGTATTGCCTAAACTGGTCTCAGTTCTTATGAGACTTCCAATCTCAGCCTCCCAGGTAGTTGGGACTGGAGGCGCATATCATCAGTTTTATTCCAGTTAAACTTCCATCATTTCAAAAGATGTTCTGTAATATAAAAATGACATTATTCATTAGTTTGTGTTTTAAGACATATTAGTGAGAGTGATTCTCCTTGTTCATGATTGCTTCCCAAGGTAAAATATTTGCGTACTTTTATCAAATGTGAGATTTGTATACTCTGAAACCGACACACTGAGAATTTGTCATACTTTGCCTAACATTAGAGTTCTGTGCTGTGCTGTGATGAAGCTATTTGTGATCCCAGATTAGTTCTTGTGGCTCGATTGTCTGTTCTGTCACTGGGTTCAGTAGTTTTAATTATGGACCGCTCCAGGATAGCAAACTGAGTACTTCTGCCCAATGTTCTGCTCGTGGGGTTAGAGATGTGAGGCTGGTCTTGTTGTAGTGTTTTGTCGTCAGTAGATATAACACAGTTTGATTGAAGCTGTTGACCTATACTGAAGACATTTAATATGTTGAGTTTTATTACAGACATTCTGTATTTTATACCTTGTAGCTTGTGAATATAACCATAGGAGACGTATGTTCCTGATTTCTGTTTCTCTCTGGAACCAAAATACTCTGGCTTCACCTCTCATTTGCAGCTAGCTCTGCAACCTGCGTCTTTCTGTCTGCAGCATTTTCCCCGTGAGTGAGAGGGGTTACTTTTATTGTGTTTACATGACTGGTTTTTATGGTTTTTTTCTTATTGTGGGCCTGTAGAATGTGAGCCAAGCATATGGTACATTGTCACCCCAGCACTCAGGAGACTGAAATGGAATGACCACAAGTCCCGGGCCACACAGGGCAGCAGAACAAGGCCCTGTTTGAGGAAAAAAACATGAAGTACATTTTATAATGTACTTTCCAGGTTGGTCTGGTAATAGTTTAGTTTCTTTTCTTTTTATTTATCGGTTTATTTTTCCTTTGAGGCAGGGTCTTGGCCAGCCCAGCCTACCTCAGACTCAGTGTGTCGTCAAAGTCTGATCTGCTTCTTTCTCTGGAGGCTGGAGTTACAGCTGTGTGCTGCTAGTGAACTGCTGTCCAGAAGGACAGAAGGAGGGTGCTACTGTCACCCAAGAGTTTCTGCCACCTCCCTTGGGGACAGCTGCTGCTTCCTGACAAGTTAACTGCCTCAACTCTTATTTATATATTAGTTTGCCCAGTGAATTTTCCCCAGTATAGTATAATTGCTCAATAACTGTCTTAGTTGGATTCTCATTGCTCTGTTAAACATCATGACCAAAAGCAACCTGGAGCAAAAGGAGCTTTTTGCATACATTTCCATATAACCGTCCATCATCAGAGGGAGTCGGGGTAAGCACCGGAGGCAGGAGCTGAAGCAGAGGCCCTGGAGGAGCGACACTTACTGGCTTCGTCCTCGTGACTTGTGTAGCCTGCTTCCTTATGCCCCTTTAAGACCGGCCACCTGCCCAGGGATGATACCACTGTAGAGCGTTAGACATTCCCACATCCGTCAGTAATCAAGAACTTCAGAGACCTGCCTGCAGGACAGTCATATGGAGGCATTTTCCCAATTAAGATCCCTCTTCCCAGATTTGTCTAGGTTTGTGTCAAGTTGACAAAACCAGCCAGCACCATCACATCTACCCACCTTTTAATCCATCGGTTGGGACATTTCAGTGCAGGCACCATTACACTGAACCTCTGCGGTTCCAGCATTATTAGCTAGAGCTCGGTAGCTGTTTGCATTCTTCCTTTTGATGCAGTAGAGTTTCCACACTGTGAAATGCATAGATCTTAATCATGTGTGGTGACATGGCAGGAGGCAGTCCATGACCTCACCCATCCATGCAGGTCCTATGCCACTGAACTGCAGTCTCAGCCCCTTAATCTAATCCCTGTGATTACATGAAAGAAAACACGACTGTGATACCAGAAATATCTCCCTACACACCTTTCTCCCCACTCCCCAAGCTGAGGTAAGTTTTCTTTGTTCTCCCCTTTTGCTGGAGAGTAGAATTTTCTAGTTACTTGTCCACTGTTGTTGTGATCTCACTTAGAGGTCTTCAGCATGTTAGGTCAGTCTTGCCTGATCTCACAGAGAGGGCCTCTTGGTTACTCTGACTTGTTACTGAGTCCTAGTGGGAGACTTCATATTGTCTTCTCTGCCTTGTTGCCCTAAACAGTTACATAAGCAATATAAAAGTAAGGGTGGGTGGTGGGAAAGAGGCAATGGGGGAGGAATGTAAGTCCTTGTTAACCAAGTTTTTCTAGGAATTTATCAATAGACATCTACAAATAGGACAGGGAGGTAGTTATCATGCCTTCCAATTAAATGTACTGATATAGAATGATTGCCAACAGTATTAAGTGACTAAAGATAGATGTAAAGCCATGCTCATTGCAGACTATTGCTGGGTGAAATTTAAAATTTATGTACATATATACCATGCAGTAGCTGCCAACTCTCCCCTTCTCCTTTTTCCATCTACATGGTTTGCACTCCAAGCCTTCCAGCAGATTCCTAACAGTGTGAATAATGCCGGATCTTGTGTGCATAGTTTGTTTCTATACCTATGCTATCATCTGTTTATAAACTAGGTATAGTAAGATAGTGACAACAGCAATAATAAAACAGAACAGTTACGGCAATGTACATAGCGAACACTGTGAATGTGGTGTCTCTCAGAGCATCTTTCTGTTCAGTTCTCATCATTGTTGTGGTAGCCTGAGATGATAGAGTGCCTACATGATGACCAGCAGCGAGACTCGGCAGCTCCCTAGTGTGCTACGTCACCATCAGTCAGAGCACGTTACAGTCCTGGCTGAAGCCATCTCCCTTCCATCTTAACTAAAGATGAGGACTGAAGTCATCGTTTGTGTTTGAGGCCTACTAGCAAAGTCAGCACAATTTGTTCTTACCTTGGACCTCAGGAAATTAGCATACCACATTTTACCCTACGCCACCCCCTTAAATTGAGGACTTCCCCATGTGTTACTTAAAGCATTTTACTTTTACTTTTTTTTAATTTTTATTTTGTTCACATTGCCAACATCACTACTCTTAAACTTTGGAGACATTGGTAAATAAAATAAGCATTAAGTCAACATCACACTGAAACAGTCTAGTAACTAAGAATAGCAACTCCTGGTCCACAAGCAGGTAGCATGCACAGTGTGGATGTGGTGGACAAGGCATCACATACATCTTGTCTACTGAGATGGAGAGGAGATTTCATCTCACTGCTCAGAGCTGTGCAGTTTGTAACTTAGGATTTGTGTATCTGAGGAATTTTCCACCTGACTCTTCAGCTCACAGCTAACTGGGTAATGAAACCACAGATGTGAAGCTGTTGTTGAGAAGGGACTGCTGCACTTTACAAGGGTAGCAACTTGGGACGAGGTGTCTTGATCTCTTTTTTGTAATGTAACAGGGTAATACAGGGGTGGGGGAGGCGGTGTTTAGTGTCTTGTATGGGCCTTCTTGCCTCTACAGCATGGCAGAAGACAATACACAAGAGTAGACAGATGCTGGCCTTGCTCTCTCTTTCCTCTTCCTTATGAAGCTGGCATTGCCATCATGGGGCACCACCCTCCTCCTACTGGTCACATGAAGTGCTCATCACTATCCAGAAGTAGCATAGTATGAATATGATGGTAAAGTGTACAACACAGGACTCTGGCAGACCTTAGCAGGGGTAGTTGAGTAGAGCAGGTATGGGTAGTAAGTATGTGCCATTTTGTTCCTTTCTGAAATTATAGGCCATGGATGTGTGTTTTTAAGAATTATATTGACAGGTATATACAGTTCATTTATGTATTTGTGGCTGAAAGTTTAATTAAAATTAAAAAGTATCCTGATGCCCTCATTGCATTGACTTTTGGATTTTGCTAGTGGAAACTTATCTGACCTGTTGGTTGCTTGAAGAAGATTGTATATGAGTGGGGTGGCTCTGTTTTGGTAAAACGGGAATTGTGGAAGTGCAGAAGGAGGGTGCTTGTCCACTGAAGGATGGCCTAGACTGAGATGTGATTCTCACTGGATGGTTGGCTTAGACTGAGGTATGATTCTCACTGGATGGTTGGCTTAGACTGAGGTGTGATTCTCACTGGGGGATGACTTAGACTGAAGTGTGATTCTCACTGGATGGATGACTTAGACTGAGGTGTTATTCTCACTGGATGGATGGCTTAGACTGAGGTGTGATTCTCACTGAGTGGATGACTTAGACTGAGGTGTGATTCTCACTGAGTGGATGACTTAGACTGAGGTGTGATTCTCACTGAGTGGATGACTTAGACTGAGGTGTGATTCTCACTGAGTGGATGACTTAGACTGAGGTGTGATTCTCACTGAGTGGATGACTT